AAAAGACTAGAGACCAAGTTTAAACTATTCACAACATGGACAGCGAAAGTACTACTGCAGACTCTAACGTGGCTGTGCAAATGAAAGGAAAAGTGCAAACTTCCTGCCAAAGTATTTACAACTGGTGTTAAATTTAGGTAAAAAAAACCATAGGATACAATGGATAAAGAGCATGACAGGGCATGAGACAGACAGGCGTCCTTACCGCCGAGAGCAAACACTGTGCCGCTGGCCGAGGTGAGCAGAGTGAACTCGCAGCGCGACTGCTGTATGGCATACATCTCTGTCCACTGGTCCCACGGGTGGTTAGAGGCCCGTGAACCATGATTCAAGTAACTCTCGGCTCACCGGATTGTCACCTCTTGCGAGAATGTCGGCCTCGTCGAATTTGAAGGTGTGGCCGGGTCTTGAAACCTCAGGCGAATACAAGTATTGTCGCAGCGATCGAGTCGTTATGTCAATTATTTCCTGGGACTCGCATGTTCGCTTGTATTGTCAAGGAATGGTACTTTTCGTATGCTTGCAGTTGCATATGTGATTGTGGGTTAGGGATTGGTCTCCAAATCTGGACAGTGTCCATCCGCAACGGTTCTAATTGTAGCGGTTGGAATTGTTGAATGATCGTCAGAAAGATTTCAGTCTATATATTGAAGGCTAGACATCCCAGGAGTTATATTTTGAGGTGAAGGTGGTCCTTTGGAAATATAATTTATTGCGTGAATTTCCTAGACTGCAGCCCTAACTCGTCATCAGGCGCAGAGTAAAGTGAACATGCCAAAACAGCTAAATCTTGAGTTCACTGGCGATCGTAGATGTTTGTACGTGTTCACTCGAGCGGTTGTTGGTGATCCGTAGGGTCTCTTGTAGGTCTGCGAAGTATTTATCGGTAGCCGGGGTAGCCGGGAACGAGTAAATAGGGAACTGGGAATCCGCGGCTAGTCGAAGTTGGCGTCCAGTTAGCATCATAAAGGCTGCGTAACCCGTGGACGTGAGGACACTGGCCCTATAGGCCATAATGGCGAAGGGTAACTGTGTGGTGGTTGGTCCGTTTGACTTGGCCATTCCCTTCGGGGTGAACAAAAGCGGTTCGGGTTTTGTGAATTAGTAATAACTCGCAAAAGTCGCATGCAAATTTGTTTTCAAAGTTCACTGCATAATCTGAATGCAGAACAATCGGAGGTCCGAATTGGCAGACCTATTCGGAGAGAATAGCCTGGGTAACTGACACTGTGCCTTGGCGGCGTATGAGGACAGTTTTACACCATCACTAAGATGTATCGGTTGCCCGAGGGTGTAATGGGTAGGGAACCGATTATTTCCACACCTATTCACTCAAACGTGGAGACCCTGTCATCATCGTTTGGAGAGGAGCTCGCGGCTTTCGGTTGGGTCGAACGGATATTGTCATGCTCCTGGGTACAATTGACACAATGCTGGGTGAGGTTCAGTTGAAGCGGACCACCACCCAACATCTTACCGGAATTATTTACGTCACAGTTTAAAACATGTAGAAAAGAGAACTGAAGACACGATCCACGGACACACAGGCGAACAAGTTCCTCGCGCGCACAGTGCCAAAAGTGGTACGCCGTGAAGCGAAATGTTTGTGAATGTAGACCGGTTCGCCTTGACGTGAATAGATCTGGGGTCAATTCGCTTCAGGGTCAAGACCTCGTCGGTGGTGGAAAACGCCATAAAGTGCTGCAGCTGCATAACGGCTCCGTCAGTTGCTGGTCAGTGTAACATCCTGGCAAACTCCACACTGTGCCCGACAGGTCTGCAAAATATAGCCTAGCAAGATACAGCGTGTGTTCCAGTGCTGTTATATGCCTAACGTTGTCTTCTGTTGATGTGAGCTTTCCTCTGTAGATGTAATCAAGAAAAGCTAATGCATCGCCTTGCGGGAAAATTTACTGGCCTCTGCTTGCCTTACTGCGCTTAGCGCGAACTGGTGCCAGCGCGTGTGGAAGGTGTTCCTGCATTGAAAGCTAGCATTTGTGACAAAATTCGTTTGGCATGGCCCGTAATACTTCTGAAGCGAATAGAAATAAGATCTTCGAACCTGGAGCCCCAGTTCCTCTTCAGACAGCTAACAGATAACATCGAGAGTTCGTGGGAAAATCGATAACGCCATGGTGGGGCCATTGCGAGAGAGAGAGCAACCATTCTGTTGTTCAAAAACGGAGTGCTGTTACCACCACAATCAATCGAGCAAGAACGCATTGTTCTAGCCCCGAACTCTACCAAGTCGAACTCAATTACCTGTTCACATTGTTTTCAAAAAACGGTTAACCCAGAGACTTTGTGCGTCGATGCATGAGACGATAACAACCAAAAAATAAAGAAAAGGAACTAAGTTGTACCGATCAGATACCCAGTCCAGGAAGTTGGCGAAAATTTGCACATATGCAGAACGTGTCTGAACTCTTTGAAAGATACCAGAGGAGGCATTTAATCCGAGTTGCGCTAAAAGCGACGAATAGTCGGCGAAATGAGCTCGTACACCCTCAGGATAGGGGTTGGCTATTTGGGCAGAAAATAAGTCATTTACAAGACCCCTCGTGGTGGCTGCAATGTGGTTTATCGCGGACAGACAGGAAGATCATCCTCCACACGCTTACGCAAACATCAACGAGCGATAAAGGGACGATATTACTTGTTCGAAGTTGCCATGCAAACATTAGAAACTGGACACCAATTTGCATGGGACGAAACGTGCATTGTTTGCTGTTGTCCATAGTCATCATCCCTAACAGCGGTCTTTTGTTTCTGACGGGTGAATTGCACACTGTTTCCATTCTATTGTGCTTGTGGGGGG